TTCTTTTCTTTTTTCAATTTTTCCAATTTTTCGGAAAAAAACAAAAAAGCTTCAGGGAAAAAAACGGAAAAAAACGTTTTTTTCCCGAATTTTTCTGGGCCTTCACATCTCTAACCACCACAAAAATCATACATCCAAGGATTTGTGGCACCACAACCGTGCTAAAACATAGTTCCAAAGCACAGATCCTCATGGATCCTGATGATTTTTGTACTACACACTCACCATCAGGTTACCTATAATATCAATAGGCACAGATTGTATAACAAAATCACACATCCACGGTTTCATAGCTCCATGACAGCAAAAAAAACATGGTTCCAAAGCACTGGTCCTCATCGATCCTCAGGGTATTTGCATTGGGTTATCCCAACATCACAATCAAATCATCTATCATGTCCTTGGGCAGAGTTCACACCACAAAAATCACAGATCCACTGCTTCGTGGCGACACCATGCAACAAAAACATAGTTCCAAAGCACAGATCCTCATGATTTTTCTTTTGGGTCACCCCAACGTCACCAGAAAATCACATATCATGTCCATAAGCAGAGTTTGCACCACAGAAATCATGGATCCACAGGTTCATAGCGACACTGTGGAGCAAAAACATGGTTCCGGACCATGGATCCTTAGAATTTTTGCTTTGGTTCCTCCCAGGCTCACCATGAAATCAGATATCATGTCCATGGTCACAGCTTACATCACAGAAGTCACAGATCCACGGCTTCGTGGTAACACCATATTGCAAAAAAAAAAAAATGGTTTTGAAGCAGGGATCTCGAAAGCCAGTCGAATCCGACTCTAGGGTTGCGGTGCTCATCTCCGTTTCAAAGCCGAAGAGCCAGCGCTGTCCGAAGACATTTCCGTGGTCATGTGGCCGGCATGACTAAACACCAAGGTGCATGGAACGCTGTTACCTTCCCACCGAATTGGTCCCTATTTATCTACTTGCAATTTCTTGCTTTCGAACTGCTAGGTTGGCAGGAGCTGGAACTAGAGATGGGAGCTCACTCCGTCATGCGGCACACTCGGGTCTTGAACTGCTGAACTACTGACCTTCCACAGCCTGCAGTTCAGCGTCTTAAACAATTGAGCCACCGCAGCTCCCAAACAATCATACATTATGTATAAATTGCAAATATACATAATATAGAGCTGCAGGAAGACTCACTCCAGTCTCAGCCTGCAGTTCAGCGTCTTAACCACTTGCATTGGGTCACCCCAATATCACCATCAAATCACATACCATGTCAATGACTACAGCTTGCACCAGACAAATCACATATCCACGGCTTCGTGATGACACCATGCAGCAAAAACATGGATCCTAATGGTTTCTGAATTTGGTCACCCAAACACATGATATATTACGTCCATGGGCAGAGCTTGCATCACAGAAGTCATGGATCCACGGCTTCATGGTAACACCATCCTGCAAAAACGTGGTTCCAAAGCAGGGATCCTCATAGATCCTCAGGGTTTTTGCATTGGGTCACCCCAGAAGCACCATCAAATCACATATCCTGTCCACGGCCACAGGTGAACCACAGAAATCATGGATCCACGGCTTCATGGCATTACCAGGAAGCAAAAACATGGTTCCGAACCATAGGTCCTCAAGGATCCTAACGTTTTTTTAATCTGGTCACCAACAATGTTCCCTCTAAGCTGTGGAGTCTTGTGAGCAAAAATTCCACTTTCTGAGCTACTGGCATTAAAGCTGTGAGCAAGCAATTTGGCATTAGTTTCCTCTGGAGCCTTTCTTCCTGAGCTGAGACAAAAATGTGTGAGCCGGAGGCTAAAAAACCATCAAATCACATACCCTGTCCGTGGTCACAGCTTGGAAAATAGAAATCATGGATCCACACCTTCGTGGCGACACCATGCAGCAACAACATGGTTCCAAACCAGGGATCCTCATGGATCCTACGGGTTTTTTATCTGGGTTAACCCAGACTCACCATCAGATCAGATATTATGCCCATGCTGTTCAGGTGTGTACCTGTTCGCTGCAAAGCCACTTTCGATTTATTGGCATTCCCCACAGAAATCTCAGGCTCAGCCTTCCGAGTCCAGGACCACTGTTCCCTCTAAGCTGAGCCAGTGTGAGCCAGCTCACAGTTTCTTAGCCTCCGGCTCACACATTTTTGTCTTAGCTCAGGAAGGATGTGGCTCCAGAGCAAACTAACTGATGCAGCAGCCAAATGGCTTGCTCACCACTTTAATGCCAGTAGCTCACAAAGTAGGATTTTTGCTCACAAGACTCCACAGCTTAGAGGGAGAGCATTGTCTAGGACCCAGGTTCAAACACGAAATGGCTGAGCTATTGAGAGAGTCCGGCGAGGCAAGCGATGATGCAGCAGCAGCAGCAGCAGATCTGGAAGCAGGAGAGGGCCGGTGATGCTGCGGGCCTGATGGAAGCCCTCCGGGGGCCTGATCCAGCCCCCCCCCCCGGCAGCATGCTTGACACCCTGCGCAAGACCTCCGGAGCCTTCCTCGGCTGGGCGGCATTTCCCTGTTTGCCAGGACTTTTCCTGGTCACCAAATGCTGCTGGGTAGAGAGGGGGGGGAGGGCAAGAGAGAGAGGGGGGAGAGGGAGAGAGGGGGAGAGAGAGG